CCCCAAAACCCCAAAACCCCAAAACCCCAAAACCCCATAAGAAAATCATCAGATAATATAATGAAATTAATTTCAAAGATAAGTCATTAAAATGTATTTACTCTTAATCTTACTATATTAATAACTCTGTAGTAATTATATTCACCTAACTCAATCAATCTAATCTGAAACTTGGAGTCTTCATATACTGATTCTGCAGATAATTTTATTTATTTTGAGATTGATCCATCACTGATGAACCCAAAGTAAATCTATGATCTTTACTTGACTCAAAATTCTCTCTGTTATCCTAGCCTTCATTGTAAATAATTTCGCCATCCTCAAATTATTAGATTCCAAAATCATATTTTCTCTCATCATTATCATAATCTTAGTTTTTATCTCTTTATGAATTTCTCGACTATCTTGCATGCTAAAATATTGGTTCTTCCAACTATGTTGAGTGATTTTTCAAATTTGAAGAGTTTTATATTGAATTTTTAAATCCAGAATCCTTTGCAGCACTTGTCTTCATATAAAAATAGTTCTACTTTAAAGGTGAATTTTATTACTCAACATCCTCTTTCTGATATCTTTCTGCTGATGGGATTTTTTATTAGTTTCTTCCATTATTTCTCACTTTCTAATTAGGCGATCTGATTTTTGATTAATTCTTTGATCCAAGTTTTATGAATTCCTCATGAAAACTGGTCCTTATGTTCTAGTTTTAGTTATCCGTAATTTTTTATTATTTTTAGTGAGAATTACCATTCTAAGAGAATTATTATTGCTCATCGTTTAGCTAGGACATGGTGAGAGGGTTATCTCTAGATGTAATAAGCCTAACCTTATCTGCCACAGGTGAGGGTGAAAGTTCTCCTTCTTTATTAAAGCTTATCAAGTATTCTGGTGACTAAATCTTTTGATTCTATTACTGAGTTTGCTTTTTTAATTCCTGCTGTTGCTTCTTCTATTGCTTCAATATCTATTACTAACTTCTTCCACCTTATAAAAAGTTAAAACTATCGTTATAATCTCGATCCAAGGAGTTATTCATCCCTTCTCTTTGCTAGGAATAGTATCTAATAGTATTTTCCTCAAACTTATAATGTAACTCATCAAATTCAAACCCCTCCTAAGTATTAAGGAATCTACTTTTCCTAATAGTCTCGTCAAATGTATAATCTCTAAGTCTTTTCCTTTATCTTGCAGCTTATAAATACACATCAACATCACTAGTATTAGCATTAAATCGACTCACTCTTTATTCGAAAGGAAGCATACTTTTTGCATTTTAAAATTTCAAACTTTATTCAGTTTCTATTCCACCAGTAGATGTCTTTTCATGCTGGGGCCTTGTCTGAAGTTATTAAGGAGTATCTTAATAGATTTAATTATCTTACATATTAATTGTTCTTTAAGGACTTTTTATTTTTTTCAATTATTTTGTAAAGCTCTTATCTCTAAATGGATTTTAGATGGATATCAATTCAGACTACAAAATGGATTAGTCTTTAGAGATGTCTAAGAGGGAGGTTTGATTTTATTACTAAAATTAGCTTGACTAACTTTTACCATGCTAGTAGTTTATAAAATTCCTAAATTTATCCTAAGAGTCTATGATTTACTCTATGACTTTCTTATCTATTTATTCTCTTTTTATTTCCAAGAAATTAGTTCTGATTTCTTCAAGTTAAATTTCTAATAGTTTATTTTAGCTCAAGATATCTAAATATTTATTTTCTGATTCTTCACGATAATGTTCTAATTCTTATTCCATACCTTGTTTTAAATTCAAAACTGCCTCGGCTATTTAATCCTAGTGTTCTACATTTACCTAAGAATGATTCTAAATCTCAACTTAGTTGACTTTTATCATATCCAACATTTTATCAATCATACTCTACTTTATTTGTTCCCCTTATAAAGCTGTATCAATCCCTCCAATAAGCATATCCTTAAAATAATCAATCTCTTTCTACAATTCTTTCAATTAGTCTTATTGTCTCACGAATTACACTTCATCCCCTGTATTTATATTCTTAATAGTCTAATTAATTTTTTCTTATTACAATTTTGTAAAATCATCCACATCCTGAGTCAATGTTTCCTTTATTTTGTTGTATTTTTGCAGCGAGTATTCATTCATACTGTTGACTCTAGTACTTAGTTGAGTTTTAAAAGTTCCAAGTTCTTCTAATAGCTTTTGCTAGAGAACATTGTAATCTGGTATTTTTATATTCTTGTTGCTATTTAGAAGAAGAGTATGCTCTGATTGTAACTCGTTAAATTTCATAGTAAGATTAGAAAACTAGCTCTTTAGCAGATTCAATTCACTTGCTTAATTGTCAATCTTGGATGAGTGATTCTGCTCAGTTTTTAGTACATACTTAAGCATTCTTTAGACTTCACTATGAGTAAGGATAATAAGAAATTAGTAAGGCTACTTACACTTCTATAGTGTTAATTCTTTCATCTTGCTCAAGTCTCTACTTGTCGTACTCAGTCTTGAGTGAGGTAATTTAAGTGGAGTGAAATTATAAGTCATCTCCGATAGATTTGTCATTAGATGATAAAATTGTTGGTTTTGGTTTAAGTTCTAGGTTAGTTCCAAAAGACTTCTTTCTCAACTCAGGTGATTAGTCAATATCCTACATAAAATCAACTTTCTTCTTCTTTTTTATGCTAGTTTAGTTCCTTGCTGGTTCTTCTTGCTCGAAATCCTTCAAGTCAAGTTCTGAATCCTAAATATCTATTAAATAAGATAAATTTACCTCCATATTCACATCCTTACTCTTTGAAGCGTAGGATTTTTTTCCTCCTTGCATAGGCTGTCTAGAATTGTGCGATTTAGATATATTATTAGTGAATAATTGCTTCTCGTAATGATTAATGAGAATTTTCTGCTCTTAGAGTTCTCTCATTAAGTGGCATTGATCAACGTAACTCTAATGTAATCCTCTATGAGATGGCAGTCCTTCAAGATTTTGATTGGTATTTTGAACCAAAGGCTAGAATATCTTGTTCCATCTATGTTTCAACATGGTAGGAGTAGTACCATTTGAGAATGAATTATTCAATCTTGAGTCAAGCATTTTATGTTTTATTGATTATGATATCGATATTGAGTTAAATAAAAATAAATTAAAGTTGATTTAATAATATACAAGATTTTAATTAGTAATCTGAAAATTACCCTATTTTATAAGTGAATAAATCAGTCTGAGAAGAATGCTTGGATTATGCGAATTTTTATAAAAGTATATAATTACCTTAATAATCATATCACTCTAATTATCCTTTAATTCAACTCCAAAGGTGAGTCACTTGGCTATCTCTTCCTCATGATCTCTCCCCTCTGATTCTTCTAGCAAGTTGAATGTCCTTAGGCATGATTGTGACTCTTCCAGCATGAATGGCACACAAGTTAGTATCTTCAAATAGCCCGACCATGTATGCTTCGGCTGCTTCCTAAATGGCAGCTACAGCTGAGGATTAGAATCTCAAGTCACTTTTGTAATCTGAAGCAATTTCTCTCACAAGTCTCTAGAATGGCAACTTTCTGATAAGCAATTCAGTTGACTTCTGATATTTTCTGATTTCTCTGAGTGCCACAGTGCCTGGTCTGAATCTGTGAGGTTTCTTAACTCCACCATCAGCAGGAGCAGTCTTTCTTGCAGCTTTATTTGCAAGGGCCTTTCTTGGAGCCTTTGCACCAGTTTATTTTCTAGCGGTTTATTTTGTCCTTGCCATTTCTTATCTGTATAGATTGTTTTAAAAAGTTTGAGTTCTTGTTGACCGAGCTAGCTTTAAATATCCTAATTGTTAGATGCTTGTCAATCTTTGTATTATTAAAATCAAATTATTAATATTTTTTTAGAAATATATACAAACTTATTTACCCATAAATATCGCCCAACGGGGTTTTGGGGTTTTGGGGTTTTGGGG